TGAGCCACGGGAAAACATGTGCCACCGTCATTCAAAATGCGGAGCCAGTCTTTGCTGCCAGGGAAGCTTCGATCTTCGCTACTTCTGGCACTAGATCCTTCAGCTCTGCTGAGGCCCACCTGCATTGGGACAAGTCAAGTACATTCATCAAGCCTGGGCAGCCAGAGCTGGCACAACCTTCACCACATCAGGAGCGACATCCTTCAAATGTGCTGATGCCCACAAACAGGTGGACAAGTCTTGAGGCTTCATGTCGACAGCTTTGCTTGGAATTTGGGCAACGAGTGCTGGCGCGACCTTCAGCACGTTAGGAGCAACATCCTTCAACTGAACCAATGCCCACAAGCAGTTGGACAAGTGCTGGGGAATCATGTCATGAACCCTGCCCGGAATTTGGGCAACGAGTGCTGGTACGATGTTCAGGCCATCGGGGGCGACACCCTTCAAATGTGCAATTGCCCATAAGCAGTTGGACAATTCTTGAGGATCCATCAAAGCAGCCTTGCCTGGAATGTGGGTAACAAGTGTCGGCACAATGTTCAGCACGACGGGAGCTACATCCTTCAAGTGTGCTGATGCCCACAAACAGTTGGACATTTCTTGAGGCTTCATGTCAACGGCTTTATTTGGAATTTGGGCTATGAGTGCCGGCACGACCTTCAGCACATCAGGAGCAACGTCCTTCAAATGAGCTGAGGCCCACAAGCAGTTGGCCAATTCCTGTGCTTTCATGCCAGGTGTTTTCTCCGGAAACACGTTCGTCAAAACAGGAAGCAAACAAGTTGTTCTGGGAATTGCCTCAAGCAGCACTGCCATTGCCCACAGCACATTAGCCGAAGCCTGTGGGTTGATTTGTTTCGACCTGATCAGGTTCTCAACTCGAGTGTGAAGCTTGGGCAGCACCGGGCTTTCACAAAGTCCTTGCAACAAGCCCCTCCGATGAAACTTGGCCAAGGTGTGATATGCTGCTGATATGTGGTAGTAGTTGAAGTCCGGATCATCCACAGCCCCATCCAGAACAGCAAGCAACTCGGCAGCTGTCGGAGCCTTGTTGATTCTGGAGGTCAAAATCATCGCTGCCTTCGCGCCTCCTGGTGAGGATGAGGAGGCACGAGACCTCCCACCTCCTGGTGCCTTAACATTGCCATTCTTTCGCCACAAGGAACCCTTCTTCTCCCGCACCAGCATGGTAGTGGTCCACCAATTCGTCGCTCTAGGCTGCTGTGGCACGCCGGTTCCTCCAACATAGCTGAGGTGCTGGGGATGGAAGCACAAGGCCCACACCAACCAACATGCTACCATCCATCCAGCAGGGCCCACGCAGCGGCTTTTGCCGTCCTTCAGCCCAGGCACAGGTGCTCCCGCGAGTGTCCGCTGGACGTGGAAGGTGGACATGGCCCGAGATAAGCAAAAGGCTAAAGGGTGAGAATTCTTGCACTTTATCTTGCTGATTAGCTTATACAAATCATTGGCACAAAATGTTGTTTGAAGACTAGGTGTCTGTGTCCGCTGTGTGTATGCTATGTACCTCTGCAGGCAATCACATCGATTGAATACTGACATTGTCGCGTTGTGCCCTGAGCAATCCTGAGCATGTTGACTTCAAAGCACCTGGCAAATCAATGAGTTCGACTCAGCAGCAGCCAGACTAGCAGCCAGGTAATTGTGACTTCCCTGCTCTCGACACCGAAGCAACACATATTCCATCAGGATCATCCGCAAATCTGCACAACAATGTGCTTCACGTCACGCTCCCGCTCAGCCGATCGCATGGGCCGAGTGATGCCGAGGGAAACATTCAACACCGCTGCGGTTGGCCCAGCCTCTTCACTCTCGGAGCTGTCCTTCGGGCCAACCGAAGGGCTCATGAAAAGGGATGCATGAACATGAACATTCGACGGGTTTTGGAGGATCTATGCATGGCCAGTGGCAAGTGGATGGCATTCAAGTTCTTCCATATGGGACTTTGAAAACTATGAACTGGAAACCGCACTCTCTTCAATCTGGAGCCACCATGTTGAAGATCAATGTGGACTGGATTGTAGGCACGGTGAACACATGAAGCTGAAATCGAGGCTTTGGCCCTTCAGCGGAAGCTTCTTTTAAATTGAAACAAATGGACATTCTTTAACTTTCGGGGTGTAGTTAAGGACCCTGATACTCCAAAAATCCACCAGAGATCGCCAGAGGTCATTGTCCAATTGGTCACCCTGGTTAGATCCCCACCTTCTTAGCCTTCGCCTTGGGCTTGGCATCCTCCGACTCGCTGTCACTCTCCTCCGCCGTGTTTTACACTGAGACTGAGCAAGTAGCATGGAACGAGAACGGATGGCCCCGAAAGGAAGGCGAAGGGACCTTCCTGGGTACGAAGGACCACTTGTGGGTTGTCAAGATTCCGTGTGCGGCGTGTTCTTTCGGAGTGTTGTGGGTGCTTGGTCAATCTGGTGCTTGCATGGAAGAAGTGGCAGGAGAACTTGAGGGCCAATGTTGGTGATCTGCACTGGAAGTGCTGAAATTCAGAGGGGGGACCGTTTGCGGCAAGGTGGACTGGGGTCGAACATGGTCAACCATTGCATGCTTGCAGAAAGGACCACACTCAACACAGGTGATGCCCCCAACATCCAAAAGCGATGCTGACAGTTGAATCATGCTGAATCCATCCCAAAGCTCCTGATGCTCTTCCGCCATCATCCACCCCAGCCAAAACCCTCACATCGAAGTCTATGACTGTATAATTCAGGTTGCCAAGTCAGTCCTTTGCAGCTGCCTTCTCCTCCTCCTTCTTCTTGGAACCCTCGTCCTCAAACACTCAGCTCAGCCACCGCAAGATGCTCCACGCGTCGGAGGGTGGGGAGCGGCCAATGGTCCAACTCTCCAACACAAGCCCAGCGCCGCACGCGAATGCTAGCAGAGGTCCCACACAAACCAAATAGAACTTGAATAACAACAGGAACCTATTTGTAGTTCTTTGTTGTTTTCTCAGCGAATGCAATTTCAGCAGAACCTTTCCAAAAGCAAAGGTCCCCCACAGATCGACCTCTGTTGCTACCTGCACCGCCCGCTATGGCCTCGGAGCTGTCTGCTTTGGCTTTTGCCTCGTCTTCCTCATCACCTGGGACGACCGAATCCATTCACGAATAGCTGCTGCGGCACTTCTTGGGATTGGTTGGGACATCAATTGACTGTATATATATATATATATATGCGATTCATTTATTAAATCACATCGAATCTATTGGCGAATCCGTTCACGAACACGTCACGGTGGAAGGCTTTTTGGATAAATATTGTGCTTTCAAGATCCTTTAGGCACCTTTAGGTCGCGTCTGGGAAGGGCCCGCCCAAGACACAAAGGGATCACTTAGCAAAGCATGCTATTTGAAGTGCAACTGGTGTCCCTTTAAGAGAATCATATGCCACGTGATCAACATATTGGACACCTGTTGGACACTGCAAAGCCATGCGGTGAGGAGGGCCTTCCGAAAAATCCATACCACCCTTTTGAACCCTTGGCTCCAATTCCACGTATATAGAAGGGCTTTGCCCCCAAAACTGGGTGCGGACTCGGCCCACGAGTTCTGAGAAGGGTTATAGACTCAGTCGTGACATCTTCTGAACCGCTGTCGTGACACTGTCTTTCTTCTCTGCCTGGCGCGTGTTCAGCACCGGGCGGGTGTGCAGCCGTCGCGGCGCGGTGTTCGGCAGGGAAGTCACCAGCTGCATCATTCAGCTCGTCGGAAGAAAACGCAGAACGTGTCGTATCCACAAAGACCGGATGCGATGGAGTTCCCCAACTAAACGCACAACATAAATAAGGTGAGTCATGGTGAGCCACTCCAATATCCATCAGCCAGTTCACTCGCCTGGAGTCATGTGGAGCAAAGGTCATGGGAACGAAAGGGACATGAAGGCGGATGAAGGCGGGCTGAAAGTGATCTTAGATGTGGGGACCTTCCAACATGATATCAAACCTGTGAATATCAATAATGTTTGACGTCCTTTCCACCCAAAAACGCAAGAATCCAAGTCCTACAGCTTCCACTGCCTCCTTTTCATCATCGGAATCCTTCTCATCCTTCTTCTCTGCCTCCTTGTCAGCAGCAACTGCATGACCGAGATCACCCTGTAGTCAATCTCCATATATGTCACAAGGTGCTGCCATTCGAGAAACGTCCCTATACCATGCACCAGTTCTTACACACCAAGCCAAAGGTTCCAAAGAACAATGCCCCCTAGCATGGCAGCATGCAACAGCAAAGAAAAAGAAGACGCCCCTTGGTGACGCCACAGGGGGTTCGGTTCTTGGTCTTGCCCACCAGGTTCATCACCAAACATACGACATCATTTGACATAACTTGACACCCCCCAACACATGTAGCACGCAGCATCCCAGTTCCTGGGAGTCCCATAAAAAGAAACAAACGGGTCTTGATCACCTAACAAACTTATTAACACTGTCTTGGAACCCTGGTCAAAACCGGACGGTTGATCACCCCCAAAGAACCCACTGGTCTTGATGCCCCCCGCCGTTTCGCACCACCCGCGGCACCTCAGCAGGGGCTTCGGACTCCGCCTTCTCCTCGCCTGTGGACCGGGTGTCCCAAGAGCGTGGGCGGGGTCTTTGACGTGTAGGAGGGATCAAAAGGGCTATGGCTATAGCGGCTATGGCATGTGGGAAGTACACGTGCTTGTTGGAAATTGTCTTTCAAGGTCTTTTTGAGCCAAACGTGGCAAGTTGTTCTTCTTTTGCGGGTGAGAGGGGTGCCCGGCGACACAAACCTCCAAAGCAAACTTGTTTTGGAAGAATCTCCATCAATGGGAACCCACCCTCTTGATTTCTCTTTAAGACATTCTAAAACCATCCACCACCCTCTTTCACTTCCAACAAACACTGATGGCGCTTACAATCTATGTCTTATCCGTATCTAGTAGAAGTTCTGACTCTGCACCTCCCCAAAGATCACCGCTCTTGGTGCCTTCCCCGCCCACCGAATGCTCCCTTTTCTTCCAACCAATGCGTCGCAACCACGCCGCCCGTGCTCTCCACCGCCGACGGCGGGAACGAAAACGAAGGCACGAAACCAGTGGGGTTCGGGCGCTCAGCGGAGCTGCGTCAGGGCGATCAGGATCAGCCCGGCTGCCCAGCTGCGAAGGGGCAGCTGGGTCAGCAAGGTCTGCTCTTCGGCCTGCCGTGGCTCGTGCGGAAGCGAATAGGCTGGGTGTGAAACTATGGAACTGTAGTGTGTTGAGTCGTTTCGATACTGGAGTATCTGCAGGACTTGCAGTATACTTGAATCTCTTGGGTTGGAAGACATGTGCCAATGTCCAGCACACACACAGAGACACCAGCTAGAATTTAGAATACAGGTACAAGCAAGGTTTAAGCCCACCCAAAAAGAATGTTCAGGCCGTCACGCAAAAATACATTGTGTCTTGCACTTTTGACTGCACAACTTATAGTGTTCCTGTCTGGTTGCGAAAGCCCAGCCTGATCAAACGCACAATGCCTCCTTGAGGTTGCTGAAGGGAAACCCTGGACCACCCTTTATCAAGCTACAGTGGTTTCGGAGTAAAATTGCACAACCCGATGGGGGTCTCTACTCTCAACCTGCTATAACATTGCTTTGAGGATCTTGGAAGTCACGGGGGGGGCATTCTTGTGATATCTCACAAGGACATTTAGCTGCTTAGCTTGGCAAAATCTCAGCGAATCATTCCATCCGACTCCCACAATGTGCCAATGTGCCAGCTCCCACTGACCATCGAGCTTGTTGGATTGATTCTTGAAGCCTGATTCTGGCAGTGGGACATCTGTTTTGGGATGGTCTCGTTGCATCCGTTGCATCCCACGCGTTGCGAGCCGCCTGAAGTCGCGGCAGCCAGAAGTCGAGAACGGACATGAGACCTGCCAGGGTGGCACAGGTGGCACAGCCCTGAGAGGATGCCGGTTTTCTGGGGCCATGCGTGTCTTCCGGTGGAAGGGTTTTCTTAGCATGACAATTCGATCATGTTCGATCCATTCGGTCCGGTACAGCCTGGCTCGGGGGGGCTGAAAAAGGGTGGTCACAACCATTCAGCCTGGCTGGGGCTTCGGGTGCAGCGTACCCAACGAGATCGGAGAAATCCAAGCAGCTGAAACAAACTTACAAATAACTGTGTACATGTTATGGAGGTGTGTGGTGGGCGGCATATGTATGTTGCCTACCACAACCCTTCACAATTCTGGGAGGATAGTTTTGTATTCAAGCTTGGCCGGTTCGCCAGCACTAGCATGGAAGGCAAGGGAACTCTAACCTTCCATTCTCCAAACCCTGCAGCTTTGACAAGTGACACTTCTTTGCCAAAACCAGTGGGGCTGTTTACACACCAACAGTAAACAACTTGAGAAGTCTTGAAGTCTATCACATACCCCAACCCAAAGAGAAACAGCAACATGGCTTCTAGAAACCCCGGACACCCCAACTCCATTCATTGCGAGGCCTCGCGGTTTGTCGCTCTCGTTCTGCGCCGTCGCCGACCTGGCCGCATCATCGGAGGAAGAAAGAGGATGAAGACACAGGGGCATGGAGGGCTGGCCTCTAAGGACAGCTCATAAACAACAGGTCCTACTAGGATCTACTAGGTCCCTAGGTGTACATGTCTTACTTGAAGGGTCTACCAATATATATCCACCTATATGCCTTTTCAGTATCTTGAAGTCACACTTGAAAGCAACCAAAAGACCAGCATGCCTGCATGAAACGACGTCATCTCCATGACCCTCCCCCCCAAAACAGCTCCGCCATCCCTGTCCCTCCCGGGTGGCACGTGAGCACCAGCACTGCGCTCCCGCCGAAGAGGCCCAGGTCCCGCAGGGTGGCAGGGCCCTCCTGGAGAGACGGTGCTGGGGAGACTTGAAGGGCTCAACTTCCCAAGGGTCTGGTAATTGATACCCTAGGACTCCAGTACTTCAAGGGTTCAACTTAAGTGATTGATACCCTGGAGCTCCAGTCGTAATTTCATCAAAAAGGTATGACTGGACCCGACACTGGCACCCACCCTAGTCCCACCTTTTCAAAGGCAAGAATGGTCTTTGGATGTATGTTGCAAATACGCATGAGGGGGAAGTCTTTCTCGGCATTTTCATGAGCTACGAGTATCATGGAACCTAAGAATTGACCAGTGGTTTCGACCATTTCCTCTAAGTGGGCACTCTCCAAACGCATCTTTTTGTGGCGCTGCACCTTCTCACCTTCCCTGTGCGGCTCACGTTCCGCCACACTTCACCACTCCAGCGCGGCTCAAGTTCCGGAGCTACCAGCGGAGCTCATTTGCTTCGTAGTCCTGGGCGACGTCCGGCACCCACACACAGCTTCCGCGGTGAAGAACATGCACTCAATTAATACTTAATGATGATGTTTGGAGCTTCTCTCTCTCAAAGTCAGTCTGAGAGCAGTGTTTTGGGGAACATGTATGACCTCCAATTGCCAATGGAGCATGATCAACATAATTGTTACAATTATATAGGATAGTTCAGAACATCTGTAATAATCAAGTATATATGGCCTCATATAAGCTGAATAGGATTTCCCAACATCAATGGCCACCAAGACTCTCTGGATGCAACTGCTCGTCTTCACCAATCTCCGCCTTGACTCTTTCCACTTCAGCCCGAGGCATTACGATATCCACAGGCGCCAAATTGGTGCACACGCCGCCGCCAAGGTGCAAGCAAGCTACACTGGCCAAGGTCGACCGCTGGCCTACATCTTCACGCCCAGCTCGACTCCCCAATCTTCATCTGCGGCTCTCTTCTGGAAGAGTTTGGTGAGTCTTAGACTTTGACTCAGAGTCGTTCAGTGGCATTCTCTGCTGCCTCTCTATGTCTTCAGACTCAACCGCCACTCGTGTCGAATACCTCAGTCATCCCACGTGCAGCGCGCCACCAGCTCCGCCAGCCGTGTCGCCCGGCGTACCACGGCCAACGCGGCGTCGAGGCCATCGCCGTCGTCATCGGGTAGTTGGTCGTCGTTGGCAGAGCGAAGGTCTTCTTCCAAGTCTGGGGATAAGGGATAAAGGGAAGCTTGGTCCAAGGGTTCACTCAGTGGTCCGGGTGCAACTCCAACACATGATGCAAATATATGCAAATGTCTATCGTGTCATATGCAATTCATTGATCTGTATTAATCTTACACTTGAACTATCTCATACTATCTCTAACTCATAATAGTTACAGTATAAAACAATGTTAAACATACCCATGTGTTAAGTTGCTTGAGTTTAGTGTTTTTGCTCGCAAGAAGTGTTTTGCACCAATGTTATTTGGAAAAAATGAAAGAAGTGTTTTGGTGTTTCCGTGGCCAAGTCTTAAAACACTTGCACAACCAATAACCATTCGACCCTTCTTCGCACCCTCAATACCCTGAAACACTACAGCCATCAGTCACAAATTCCCAAAGCGCAAGCACCAAATGCCGTTTTTTAAACAAAAAATGCAAGCAGTCTCACTAATCCAAAGATCAGCTCTTCTTGAACAGCTTTCGCAGGTCTTCAAACAAACTTCCTACAAAGTGTTTACAAAGTTTTGGATCTTTACAAAAATCTGACAAAGTTTTGGAATTACAACTTGTTTACCGAGTTTTTGCATTACAAAGTTTTAACAAAGTCTACAAAGTTTAAAGATAGAAATAACAAACTTCACAAAGTTTTTGGAAACTTACAGTACATTGAATTTTACAAAACTTTGGAACTACGAAGTTTTTACAAAGTATTGAACCTTTAGATATCTGAACAAAGCTTTGGACATTTATCAAGCTTTGAACAAGTTTTGGAATTTTACAAAGTTGATACCAAGTTATTGAGTTTAAAAGTTTTTACAAAGCTTTTACAAAAGTTTTTGATGCTTACAAACTTTCTACAAAGTTTCGGTTTTTTTCAATCTGTGTCAAAACTTTGTAAACTTTATTATTTGAAAACTTTGCAAAACGTTGTAAACTTTGTAAGAACTTTGTAAATACTTTGTAAACTTTGTAAAAGCTGTGTAAGCTTTGTAGAAACTTTGGTGAAATTCAGAAACTTTGTAAACTTTGAACAAATTTTGCAAACTTTGTCAAAACTTTGTAAACTGTTGTTAAAATTGTAAACTTTTTAAACACTGAAACACTTTAAACTTCGTAAACCTTTGTAAAAACTTTGTACACTTTGTAAAACTGTGTAAAAAACTGCGAAAACTTTGTGTAAAAAATTGTAAAATGCGAAAACTTTGTCAAAACTTTGTAAACACTTGTAAACTTTGTCAAAACTTTGTGAACTTTGTCAAAAAGTTTGTAAACATTGCAAACTTTGTACACTTTGTACTAACATTTTGTAAACTTTGTAAACTTTTAGATGTTGTAGGCCTTCGTAAACTCTATTTAAAAAAGACCGTTATAAACTTCGTAGCACTTTGCAAACTTTGTAAAACGTTTTTAAACTTCGTAAACTTTGTCAAAGCATTGTAAACATTTTGAAAGACCTTGTGAACGTTGTGAAAACTTTGTAAACTTTGAACACTCTGTAAATTTCTCAAAACTTTGTACAAATTGTGAAACTGTACAAACTTTGTAAAAACCTTGTAAAATGTAGAAAGAAACTTTGTAAACTTTGCAAATAAATAAACTATCAAAACTTTGTAATCGTCGTCAAAACTTTGTAAACTTTGTCGAAACTCTGTAAACTTCTGCAAAACTTCGTAAACTTGGCAAAATCTGTGTGAACTTTCCAAAATCTTCAAAACTTTGTAAACTTTGTAAAAACTTTGTAAATTTGTGTAACAAAAGGCAAATGTCGCAAACTTTGTCAGAACGTTGTAAACTTTGTAAAAACTTTGTAAACTTTGTAAAAACTGTGTAAACTATGTAAACTTTGTAAAAACTTTGTAAAACTTTGTAAAGTTCTGTGAAAGAAGTGTTTTTGCACGATTTTTTGCTTGAAAAGAAGTGTTTTTCATGTCATTTGTTGTAAACATAAGTGTTTTCCACCAGCCATTTGCAAACTTTGTAAAAACTTTGTAAAAACTTTGCAAACTTGAAAACTTTTGTAAACGTTGTAAAAACTTTGTAAAAACCTTGCAAACTTTGTAAAAACTTTGTAAAAACTTTGTAAACTTTGTAAAACTTTGTAAACTTTGTAAAAACCTTGTAAACTGTGTAAAAACTTTGTAAAAACTTTGTAAACTGTGTAAAAACTTTGTAAACTTTGTAAAAACTTTGTAAACTTTGTAAAAACTTTGTAAACTTGAAAAAGCTGTTGTAAACTTTGTAAAAACGTTGTACAACTTTGTAAACTTTGTAAAAACTTTGAAAACTTTGTAAACACTTTGTGAGACTTTGTAGACTCTGTAAAAATTGAAAAACTGTGAAAATTCCGAACTTTGCAAGAACTTTGTCAAATTCCAAAGCTTTCTAAAATCGTTGTAAACTTTCAATGCTGTGCAAAAACTCTGTAAACTGTATAAACTTTGCAACTTTTGTGAAAGCCTTGTAAACTATGTAAAGTTTGCAAATGTTTGTACACTTTGAAAAAACTCCCTGTAAAATTGTAAATTTTGCAATCTGTGTAAAGATTTTATAAACTTTGTACAAACTTTGTAAACTTTCAAAACTTTGCAAAACTGTGTAAACTTTGTAAAAACTTTGTCAACATTGCAGCAACATTGTAAAACTTTCAATACGTCTTTAATTGATTTTTTAATGGTAAAACCTTTGTAAACTGGGTAAACTTTGGAAATTGTTCAAAACTTTGCAAACTGTGTAAAAATATTGTAAACTTTGTAAAACTTTGTAAACTTGGTAAACGGTTGTAAAACTTTGCAAACTTCATAAAATCTGTGTAAAACTTTGTAAACTTTGTACCAACTTTGAAAGCTTTGTAAAAACGTAGTGAACTTGGTATAAACTTGGTAAACTTTGTCAACACTTTGTAGACGTTGTAAAACATCTTTAAACTTTGTCAAACTTTGTAAGCTTTGTCAACCTTTAAACTTGTAAAACTGTGTAAGAACTTGGTAAAACTTTATTAAGACGTTGTAAAGTTCGCAAACTTTGTAAAAAGGTTTACAAAACTTTTACGAAGTTTTGGAGTTCTTCAAATTATTCTTCAAAGTTAGAGCAACGTTTTACACAGTTTTTAGAACGTTTACAAAGTTTTGTATTTTTACAAAGTTATACAAAGTTTACAAAACTTTCACAAAGTCTTAAGAATTTGTACAAAGTTTGCAACTTTTGCAAAGAGTTGACAGAGTTGTTGAATTACAAACAAACTTACAAAGGTTTACAACGTCTACAAAGCTTTTACCATGGCCGTTCACTCACCACTCACGAGACAAACAAACCTATGAAATAGTCCTTTGGGTCTCGTATGTTGCCACTAACAACGCAAAAAAAAAAAACAAGACGTGTTTTATACCCTCTCTTAGTTCTGAACAACCAATTCTTCAGAGGTCCGCAAGGGTCAAAAACACTTCTTCTGCGCTAATTCCCCCGAAACAACGAACGACGGTCCCCAAGCAACTTAACATACCCATGCAACAATGGTGCTGCTTCCACTTCACCCACCGGCGCCTGCCATCCTCCTCAAGGCTTCTGCCAACTTCCCCCACGCCGCCCGGTCGCCCAACGGATCCGCCGGCCGCACCCACGCCGCGGTCACGCCCTCCTCGCCCTCGCCGTCCAGGGCGTCGGCGTCCAGGGCCTCGGCCAGGCGCCGCGGCCAGGGCGCGGGCAGCGGCGCGGAGGGCGGGGCCAGGAGGTCGGTGAGCTGGGCGCAGAGCTGGCGCAGCTGGGGCTCCGAGGGAGCTTCCAAGAGCACGGTGGAGCTGGTGGAGGTGGAGGAAGCGAAGAATTCATAGAAA